GTCAGTATGGTGTCCCGACAGCACTGCACAGTGTCCCTTCCTTGCACAATATGGAGTGGGTTTCGATCAGGCATAGTGACACAATAACCGATCCATCGCCAAATATGTCACGAGGTCTTTGGTTGACGTTGGCTTGGCGCACATTCCATGGTAATCACAGACTGTGAAACATTGAACGTATTGGCCACTGCACGCTGACTTCTTCCAGTTTCGAACATGCCAATAGCCGAGCGGGCGCGGCACCGCTAGTTCTTACACAAACTGTGAATAAAATCATGTTAATCACAACTGTATGATAAGCAGAATCAATGCGATTGACAGACATAATGGTCAACAACAATTAATCGATTTTCCTTGAAAGTGTCAAAACCAGGAATGACACTCTACGCATGTCTGTGACGACTGTGTGAGGCACGTGCAAACTATATGCTGTATTTTTGTGTTACGTTTTACAGATATATACGTTCTTTCATAGCATGTTGATCGTCAACACTTATCTTTCTTCTCATACTCGGTGTGAACATTTTATTTCGAGATCCCCTACTTTTTTTAAGAGTATAAAATTCAGTGATCTGGAACATATGCAACCTTTTCAGAACCCATTTCTCACAGGATATCACAATACCCAACAGACATTTGCTGTGATGGATGTGCATATATAATTGTGCTCAGAGGGATGTTGATCTCACGTGATGTGACAAAACCCAAACAAAAATACTATGAAGCGTTTCAACATACAATTGGCATCATAAAAAGGTCTCTTTGTCTTACTGGGTGTTCCAGTAGATCGCAACCACATGTGCTACAAAGCATGACCATATATTATTGATGCCATAAGAGTTTGGTCTTGTGGGACAAACCCAGGACAAGTACCGTTCGTGCCACCTTGACTTTCATGTAGGTGTTGCGTTTCATGTTGACATTGGTTATGCCAAGTGGGGAATTGATACATGTACTTGTTTAGCTGAAGCTACCGACAGGCATTGAGATGAGCTTCATGCCCTAGCTGTAACGTGGCACTGTGGCTGTGTCTCTTTGACTGCCCTACTGGGAGACAGAGCTAAGGTACACAGACACTCAGAAGAGTTTGCTCTGATAATAGATCACTCACTGTCCAAGACTCAAAGCACCGATTTCAATTTTCTGAGAAACATGGTCAAAGTTAATGAGATAGGAAGTTGCAATTTCAAAATTATTTTGGATATATAAGCGACACAACCATACTCACAAGAAATCTCTGCCGAGAGGACAGACCTCTCTATGATTCCGACTATATCATGTACAGTCGTCCCTGGTTATAATGCCATCTTACATTCAGGGTGGCATTATGATAAGGGAAGTGAAACACAGACCAATTTAATTCAGTGACGTTATAACCAGGGTGGCATTATAACCGGGCAGGCATTATATAGGAGGTGGCATAACAACCAGGGTGGCATTATAACTGGGGTGGCATTACAACCAGGGTGGCATTATAACCGGATGGCATTACAACCAGGATTGCATTATAACAAGGGTGGCATTATAACCTGGGTGGCATTATAACCAGGGTGGCATTATAACCGGGGTGGCATTATAACCAGGGTGGCATTACAACCAGGGTGGCATTATAACCGGAGTGGCATTACAACCAGGGTGGCATTATAACCAGGGTGGCGTTTTAACCGGGGTGGCGTTATAACCGGGGTGGCATTATAACCGGGTTGGCATTATAACCAGGGTTGCATTATAACCGGGGTGGTATTATAACCTGGGTGACATTATAACCAGGGTGGCATTATACCATTATTGGCATTATAACCGGGTGGCATTATAACCAGGGTGACATTCTAACCAGGGTGGCATTATAACCAGGGTGGCAATGTAACAAGGGTGTCATTATAACTAGGGTGGCATTATAACCTGGGTGGCATTATAATCGGGGTGGCATTATAACTAGGGTGGCATTATAACCAGGGTGGCAATGTAACAAGGGTGGCATTATAACTAGGGTGGCATTATAACTGGGGTTGCATTATAACCTTGGTGGCATTGTAACCCGGTTGGCATTATAACTAGGGTGGTATTATAACAAGGGTGGCATTATAACTAGGGTGGCATTATAACCTGGGTGGCACTATAACTAGGGTGGCATTATAACTGGGGTGGCATTATAACTAGGTCGGCATTATAACCAGGCTGGCATTATAACCTGGCTGGCATTATAACCAGGGTGGCATTATAACCTGGCTGGCATTATAACCGGATGGCATTATAACTAGGGTGACATTATAACCAGGGTGGCATTATAACCAAGGTGGCATTATAACTAGGGTGGCATTATAACTAGGGTGGCATTATAACCTGGGTGGCATTATAACTAGGGTGGCATTATAACTGGGGTGGCATTATAACCTTGATGGCATTGTAACCCGGGTGGCATTATAACTAGGGTGGCATTATAACCTGGGTGGCATTATAACCTTGGTGGCATTATAACCAGGGTGGTATTATAACCTGGGTGGCATTATAACAAGGGTGGCATTATAACGAGGTTGGCATTATAACCAGGGAATGTTGTACTGAGAAATTCGTTCTTGAAAAAAACTGGCATTATAACCAGGGGCAGCATAACTTCCAGACAGAACTGTATTGATGAATCATAATAAGATAGTATTGATACCAGGTTTTCAGGAAAACCTAAGCATATTCTGTCCCACCAGTGGTAACTGTCACAAACACATGCAAAGCCAAGTCAAGTGTACACATGCAACAACACGGGGACATATGATACAAGTAAAAAACAAGCACAACAAGCTATGTACACTTATTGATAAGGCAGAATTGACGATAAATACATGAGAGATACCTGAATGTAGATATAAATTCCCCTAATGTTTGCAAATTATAAATACAAGGACATTTTCAGAATATTATAGCGACCATATGAGAGACAAAATAATCCAGTCATTACATGGTTTGAGTGTGTCATTAGATTACAAGAGAGAGATATAGTTGAGCCACTGATTCTCTAACACCAAATGATCACACGCTGTAAGAGAGTGACCACCGGAGATTACCGGACCGCCTCTGTGGTCTAGTGGTAGAGCGTCCGATCGGAGAGCGGAAGGCGGGGGGTTCGATCCCCGACCGCGTCATACCAAAAGACGTTAAAAGATGGTACTTGTTGTTACCGGAGTCAGTATACTGTGTCTGAGTGGGGTATTCATATTAAACTGCGGCATGGTATCTCAGTGAGCTAGCACTATAAATCGGCATCAGTCCGGACTAGTAAAAGCAGCCACACAAACACATACACGTACATGCACGTCGCTATATAAGTGCAATAATCTTGGACGCGACGTTAAACCCAATTTCACCTCACCTCACCCGGAGATTACCGAAATGTGCCGGAAATAAAGTCGGGTAACATAGCGGCACTGGACCATGACATGGGTAAAATAGATCCACGGTGACAACCGTAACGGTATTTTGTGACAGCAATAATGTAAATTATGCTCGGTGGCTTTCAACCAAAATCCCTTAACCAAAATCATTCACAGTGGCAAGAGAGTTTCATGGCGGAAACTTCACAGTGGATGAATCGGTATGTGAGTCCGTGCTACACATGCCCAAACTAACCTTTTATCATATAATGGGTAGGTTTCTCGGCAGTATAAAGCCAACGGATAAAAACAATTTTCGTTGGGGTCATAGGCTGATAGAGATGCAAATATCAAAGGTCAAGTAGGACTACTTTCACTGTTTATAAACAAACATGGCAGAATTAACCATCGGGAATCTGGATAAACTACAGGGATAATTGCTATCATTACCAAAAGAACATTCTAATATACTGAAAATCAGTGTCTAACTGTGACGTGGCTAAGGCATTTGCCAACTTTGGAGATATCTATAAATTTCGAAACAATTTTGCGAGGGCACAAGGCCTAGTCGGATCAGTAGCCGTATGTGTGCTTGTAGACCTCTGCGGTTTGAAACCTTCTCAACAAAACAAAATAGTTGGATTTGGCCGAAATATGTTTGAATTGTTACCTTGTTTCGTTTTGTCGCTGTGTATACATCTGATTGCACTTCTTAACGTTATTACAGGACAGACCGACTGTCAACAACGTCTGACCGTGGCCGTGACGTCGCATAGACTAGGGTTAGAGTAGCTTCCCATTGACAAAGGGCAGTTACTCTAGCGGAACCGATGGATTGCCGCGAAAGGCAATTAAAAACAAGTGTTGTATTGCGCATATGTTGCTTCGCCACTGTATAAGAAACAGATTTCAGTAATAGTAATGCGCGCATTCCAGGAAACTCGCTGTTTCGGTAATGTTTGTGAGAGAGGGAAAGCGATTTTAAAGCACAGAATTAAAGAATGACATCATATGATAAAGAGGTTATCACGCTTGTGTGTTTGTGGATGGTAAATATCCTATATTAGGAATAAACACTATGTATTTAGCTCGCCAAGGCTCGCTAAATACAATGTTTATTCCTAATGCAGGATATTTACCATCCCCAAACACACTCGCGTGATAACCTCTATATATTAGGACAGAAAAAAATAAAACATGCAATGTTTTGTTGATTGCATTACGTATTGCAGTTCGTTTCATACCTCCAGTGCATTCCGGTTAAAGCACTTGCAGTACATTGGCATGTTTCCCAAACAATACTGACACTCATTGAATAAGGTGTTTTAGAGAAACAAACTTTGCATAACCAGTGTCTGCACAATAAAAAAACTATGCATAACCACGTCTATCTATCCTTCAAATTGGATATCTGTAAGTTCACAATGCATTGTCATAAAATTATTTTGTCTGACATTGCACGTTCAACCTACTGTGAGGCTTTGTGCACGCTTTTGCATAATGTGAGAAATAAATCTGGGAGCTATTGAGCGGTCCTACTATATAACCCCCAGGGGCGTACGGAAAAGTCCGGGGCGTATTTTAAAACAGTCCCAACCGCCAAGTTTCATAATAGACTCATTGATGTTAGAAACAGCCCCCGGGTAACGTTGGTTCAATGCAGATGACACGACTCAAGCGGGTGTATAAATCTAGGCCAGTCTTCACGTGATTCGTATGGCCTAACCGCAGGGACTGTACGTATGATATAGCTTCAAGGTCCGAGCTACAGCGTCAGCTGGTTGATTGACCTTTGTGACGCGTGACTGGCAGACAACAGTGTCGGAGCTAACCCGGCAATCCTGGTGGACCTAAAGCTGCCTTGGAGACAGTGTGATCACAGGTTATACAGGTAAGTGCTGTTCCACAGTACAGGGGTACGAGCACCTGTGAACGTGTTGAAATATAGCGATTTGACTGCGGGATATTGGTATGCTTGGTGGTTGGGTATATATAAACGTAAACCAACGAATAGGCCGAGTCTAACAGAAGTAACACTGACAGAGGCAGTCAAGTCGATACCTTCCATAAAATGGGATCTGAACGAGTTCGTGAAAACCGGAGAAAAATCAACGTTCCGGTTGAGTGATCCACAGCTTCGTTTAATCGAGGATTGGATAACGGGAGCTCAAGACCTTAACGCTCGTGATGGGCGGTAACCTACATGTACACATGACAGCGGACCAGCACAAGGCCCCAAGTTTGCAGCTAGGGTAGATAAGGGCGACTTCCTGGGTCGGGTAGTCAGGCTGACTGTTGCGTGAAACAAATTGGCTGATCCACTGAGACAATTTAAAAAATGCCTAAATATTGCAGTCATTTTAGAAGTTTATTGAAAAAGCTATCTCCTTAATTGACAAAGCTATTGATTAGAAGTCAGGCAAAAGTGGCCATTGTTGATCTAATCATGGAAATCACTGTAAACACATATTGTGTTGATAACTAACTGTAATCTATCTGATGTTGCAACAACTCACAGACACTGCAATACACGAACTGCACAGCAGAAATAAAATCAGTAAAAAGTTCATCGAGATACAATAGTTTAATTAGACAGTCTAACGATGTGGAAGTTTAACTGGCGATAGCGCTACAACGTAAAAATGTGTACACTACTACTACTAACACTACTACTACTTATAATAATAATGATAATGATGATGATAACAACAAACACAGTATCTAAAGCGATATGATGGAGTGGCTCGATTATATACTCAACCACAAAAGTTCCCGTGACACCAATATTTTAGTGTATTTTTCAAACAAGTAAAGTTTGGTTTTCTATATTGCAGTACATGTATGGAATCGAGTCACAAAACCCATTTGCTACAGAAAAGCATGCATTCCATGCAAAAGTTGACTTTTATGCAAGCCCCATGCATTTTACTACCCAAGAATGGGTATAAAAAACACGTGCGTTAACGGGATTCCGTATGCATTGTTTAGCATCGTGCTGACAACAACCGCTCAGAAAAACAACAAAATTACGCAATTATTCAACATTACGAAATGAGACGCCTGTCCGAAAATGAGCATCTGCGAGTCATTGGTATGCTTGAAGCAGGATCGAGTCAACGTGATGTTGCAAGACAATTTAACGTCCACAGAAACACCATTTGGTGTTTATGGCAACGTTGGCAACAGACGAATGCAGTCAGAGACAGGCCACGCGTTACCAATAATCGACAAGACAACTGGATTCGAACAACACACCTACGGAATCGTTTCAAGCCAGCAACAGTGACTGCAAGAAGCATACACTGACGAGTCTCGTTTTCACCTCAGTCACAGCGATGGACGGGTTCAAGTGTACCGACGTCGAGGTGAACGTTACGTCAATCATTGTGTCATGGAAGAAGATCGGTTCGGGGGCGGCAGCGTTATGGTATGGGGTGGGATTACAGCAAGACAGAGGACCCGTTTGATAGTGGTAGAGGGAAATCTCAATGGACAGCGCTACCGCGACGAGATCATCGGCCCTGTTGTTCTACCGCTTTTGCGTCATCATGGCCAGGCATTACCTTTCAACATAACAACGCCCGGCCTCATATTGCTCGACTTGTGCAGGATTCTCTTCAACAAAACAACGTGAATGTCATCCCCTGGTCGGCCCGCTCCCCTAATCTCTTACCAATCGAGCACATGTGGGAAGAGATGGATCGGCGCCTTCGACGGCAACCACGTGTTCCACAGACACTGCGAAACATGGTCCAGTAGATATGGACAGATATCCCACAGGACTTTGTGCGACGCCTGGTCCATTCCATGAGACGATAATGTGTTGCTTGCATCTCAACCAGAGCTGGACACACACGCTATTGATTTGTAAATGACATTTTGGCATGTTCATGTTTTTTTATGAAATTTTCTGAAGTCAGTATGGCAAATTAAACCATTTGAAGACTTACAGGATTCTTTTATCTGTTGCAAACCGAAATTGTTTCAGATTTTGTAAAAAAACAACAACTTTGCATTAAATCTTATTCAATGTGACAGGAACTTCTGTTGGGTCTATCCATGGTACGACTCAGAATATGTAGAGGGCGTCATGGAAAAAGATAAACACAAATTCTTTGGAAAAGGCCCGTATACAGTCTCAGACATATCCAGAACAACAAACCAGATCTTGTACTTTTTTATAAATCCAATGAAATCATTTGTATCATTCAATTTTCTGTCCCTTTTGACACTAATGTGATTGACAAGATTCAGGAAAAACATAGCAACTATGCAGACCTCGTTTTCGAAATGTCACGCTTTCATCCAAGAACCAAGTTGTCCGACTCCACACTGTTCTCGCCTTAGATTTGGTACCACCCAATCTGTTGACTGACACTGGGAGAGTAACCGGGTTTGCTACCAGGAATACCACCCTACTGGCATTCTGGGTAATGCAGAAGGCTGCAGTGTTGGGGAGTCTATAGATTCTCTGAAACGTTCTGCTTGGATTCGGCTAGGCAGCTCATTCCGGGAGAAGACCCATTTGCTGTCTGGGCTGCGTGAAGAGGGGGCAAGGGCCCTCAGCTGATGATGAGCCTCACCAGTTTGCCTGTGCCAGGATCACGCAAACCCTTTTCGCTGCATTTTTAATTGTAATCTTACATAATAACAAGAAGAATATCAGCAACAGCAACAACAACAATATTGGGTGTTTGACATTTTTTAACGCCGCACTCAGCAACATTCAGCTATGTGATGGTGGTCTGTAAATCATCTAGTCTGGACCAGACAATCCAATGATTGACATCATGCTCGTCGATCTACGTAATTGGGATACGATGACATGCATTAATCAAGTCAGCGAACCTGACCACCCGATCCCATTAGCCTCTTACGACAAAGATAGTTGCTTCTTACCACAAGCATAGGTTTCTGAAGACCAATTCTAACCCGGAATCTTTACGGGAATAATAATAATGATAATGAAAATAATAATATTTATAACAACCATAGTAATAAAGAGTACAACCCACTGGGTATGGTACTGACAGAATTAGAAATATAATAAGGGCAAACCAGGATTCGAACCCACAATCCTAGTCTCTGGTATGTCTGCACGAAGAATTGTTGTGTCTGGGCCAACTGTGTCCCTATGACATTAAGAATGCGACATGAGCGGCGAATGTTAACAACACCAATGACCTTCGTAGACTCAGAAAACAGTCCAACATGTTTGGGTATTCTCTGGGCAGAGTCACTCATTGATAATTATCTTCAGTTGGTCACGAAAGTGAGTTTTCGACTAAGTAATGTCTGTTGCTTGATAAATTAAGTCATACTGGTACCACTTTGTTGCGGGGATGTTGTTGACAAAAAAATATCACAGTAATCAGAGTACGGGATTCGAACCAACGATCTGCGGATCCTGGTATGTCCGAGAGATGCAACCGACGCCTTAGATGACTTGATGATACAGGAACGAATTTAATAATGGATTAAGAAACACAATTATGTGTGTTAAGTGAATTAGTCTTCTCAAAAGGGAACCGCAAAGTGCTAGTTTGCATATTTCACACTTCTTGAAAAAGTAATGTAGATATATGATACGAGAGAGCAATAAGTACGTTTGTTAAAAACATGAGAGTATCAAACATTCTAAACCTAAATTATTTTTTCAGGTCAGTAAGATGTCCGCTGGCAAAGACTGTTCAGTGATTCCCGTCGTGGTCGGTGTCGACGTGGGTGGAACCAACACCGATGCAGTTGTTCTCACCAAAGGCAAGATAAAATCCACAGTGATTGCCGCAGTGAAGGAGCTGACGTCAGCGGATGTCACTACCGGTGTCCGAACTGCCATTCATGCCGTTCTCCAACAGGCCACAGACAATGGACATAGGGTAGCTGTGGTGCAGGTCAACATTGGAACCACGCACTTCGTAAATGCTGTTGTACAGGGTAGAGGACTTGCACGGGTCTCTGTGATACGTCTTTGTGGAACTGCGTCACACGATCTGCCACCTTTCAGCGATTTTCCCTTGGATCTCAAAGAAACCATATATGGCAGCGTTCACCTTGTTGATGGTGGGTACAGGTTTGATGGCAGGGAAATTGACCCTGTTGATGAGAAACAAATAACTGATACCCTTTGTCAAATAAAGGAAAAGAAGATAAGAAACATTGTTGTGTCAGGAATATTCTCTCCTGTCAAAACCGACCAAGAAGATGCTGTTTTACAGTTAATCGCAAGCAAGTATCCTGAAGCAACAGTTACACTGTCGCACATGATTGGACATTTTGGATTACTGGAAAGAGAGAATGCTGCAATACTAAACGAATGTCTGAAACCACTTTGCAAGAAAACAGTTGAAGGTTTTCAAACTGCACTATCAAGTGTTGGTCTGTCCTGTCCAATGTATTTCACACAGAACGATGGCACCATCATCAGCTCTGATGAAGCTGTGTTGTATCCAGTGTACACCTTTGCATCAGGACCCACAAACAGCATGCGAGGGGCAGCTTTCTTATCGGATGTCAAGGATGCCATCGTTCTTGATATTGGCGGCACAACCACAGATGTAGGCGTTCTGAAGAACAAGTTTCCAAGAGAAGCTTCCACCCAAGTAAAGATTGGAGGGATCAGGACAAACTTTCGAATGCCAGATGTTCTCAGTTTTGGCCTTGGTGGTGGGTCCTATGTCACAGAAAACACAGACGCCTCAGTTACTATTGGACCGCTCAGCGCAGGGTTCAACCTAAAGAATGAAGCTTTCATATTTAGTAACGGCGACACCGATTCTGGACGAAGCTTAACTACGTCTGATGTTGCTGTTGCAGCTGGATTGATGAAACTTGGAGATGCAAAATATGTTCAACATTTATCAAAGGAATTGGTTGAGAAAGTGCTTGCAAAGATAGTTATCATGATTGAAGATGCAATCGATGTGGTCAAGCTGAGTGCGGAAACACTACCCGTCCTTCTTGTTGGTGGTGGAAGTGTTCTGGTTGACAGGAATCAGGAAATTAAAGGTGCCTCAGAAGTCATTATCCCTGAGTATTCAGGAGTTGCCAATGCCATTGGTGCTGCACTGAGTCAGGTGTCTGGCAGTTCTGATAGTATTGTATGTCTTCAGGATATGGTGGATCAAGAACGGATGGATCAAGCTGTTGGAGCCGCTGTGGCAGCAGTGGATGATAAAGATGAAAAGAAAGTCGAGCTCGCTGCAGAACAAGCTCGAAAGCCATTTTTTGTCAATGCCAGAGACACAGCTTTAGAAAGTGCAGAACGTAAAGCTAAGCAAATAGCAGTAGATTGTGGTGCTGACCCAACATCTGTTGAAATTACACAGAAGGAGGACATGACTCTGTCCTATATCCCAGGTCAAGCAGTGAGAATAAAGATAAAGGCTGTTGGCAATTTGGAAAATTTACAATCAGCAAATGCAAAAGAGTGGATCCCAAGCCCTTTGAAAAAAGATGAATCAATGTCTGGTGGCAAACTTGAAAAACAAACAGGGACCTCAACTGGGAAAACACTTGCAGTTGGCAATGAGGCAGGAGATGCAACAAAACACCCAGTGGATCCTCAGATCGACCCTCATACTGGAGAGTGGATTCTCTCGGAATGGGATTTAGAGGCAATTGTGATTGGTGCAGGCATATTTGGGTGTGGCGGTGGTGGAAATCCTCATATTGGCAGACTCAGGGCTCTTGCGGATATACGAAAAGGCAAGAAAATACGTATAATTTCCCCAGAGAAACTGTATGAAAAGGCAGATCCAGACAATGATCTCGTGGCTATAGTAGCATTCATGGGGGCCCCATTGATTATGTATGAGCAGTTGGTGTCCTCAAAAGAAACAACTGGAGCGTTGAGATGTTTGGATGATCTGTACACCATTGGTGGCTACAAGGATGGCATGTTGCAGAACACAGAGGGAGTTGAAATCAAGACGAAAGATGGGATGGTATATATAGAGAATTACCAGACCAGGGTATCAATGGATAAACCTAAACGGATAATTGCTTTGATGTCTGGTGAGATCGGAGGAATGAATGCGATTGAACCTCTTCTTGTGTCAGCTGACCTGGGCCTGCCTGTTGTTGATTCTGATGGAATGGGACGGGCATTTCCTGAGTTGCAGATGTTTTGTCCATATATGTATGGAGTGTCTGCTCATCCTGCAGCTTTAGTAGACGACAGAGGCACACGAGCTGTAATGCTGCAAACACCTTCACCAAAACATCTTGAAAATCACTTCAGAGATACAGTTATTGGGATGGGATGTTCTGCTGGACTCTCATTCAATCCTCTCACCAAACCTGTGTTAATGGATAAGACAGTTCTATATTCCGTCAGCCACGTGTGGAAGGTCGGAGATGCTGTTCTAAAGGCCAGAATAGAAAAGACGTCCCCCATTGAGGCCATTTTGAAAACAGAAAAATCTGTCCACATCATCACTGGCAAAATCAGGGACGTGCAGAGGGAAACAAGTGGAGGATTCAACAGAGGGAAGGTTATCATTGAAGGTCTTGACAGTTTTTCTGGACAAACCATACTGGTTGAATTTCAGAATGAAAACTTGATTATTTTCCCCTTGGATGCCGAGAAGAAAGCTGGGAAGCCAGTTGCATGTGTCCCAGATCTCATCACCATCATTGATGCAGACACAGCTGAGCCTATTCCGACAGAAGAGGTGAAATATGGAATTCGAGTCGCTGTCCTTGTACTGGCCTCTCCAGATATACTGCGAACCGATCAGGCTTTGCGATTTGTTGGCCCTAAAGCTTTCCATTATGACAACGTTGAGTTCAGACCAATCGGAGACGCGTATCCTGTTCAACCAATACCACCAAGGGACTCTCTTTAACGCAGACGCTCTATAACTGGGATGCTCTCTCACTTGGACTCTCTACTGCGGACATTCAGATGCTCTCTAACGCAGATGCTCTATTACTGGGATGCTCTCTCACTTGGACTCTCTACTGCGGACATTCAGACGCTCTCTAACGCAGACGCTCTATAACTGGGATGCTCTCTCACTTGGACTCTCTACTGCGGACATTCAGACGCTCTCTATAGCAGATGCTCTATGACTGGGATGCTCTCTCACTTGGACTCTCTACTGCGGGCATTCAGACGCTCTCTAACGCAAATGCTCTATTACTGGGATGCTCTCTCACTTGGACTCTCTACTGCGGACATTCAGACGCTCTCTAACGCAGACGCTCTATAACTGGGATGCTCTCTCACTTGGACTCTCTACTGCGGGCATTCAGACGCTATCTATAGCCGATGCTCTATTACTGGGATGCTCTCTCATTTGGACTCTCTACCGCGGACATTCAGACGCTCTCTAACGCAGATGCTCTATTACTGGGATGCTCTCTCACTTGGACTCTCTACCGCGGACATTCAGACTCTCTCTAACGCAGACGCTCTATTACTGGGATGCTCTCTCACTTGGACTCTCTACTGCGGACATTCAGACACTCTCTAACGCAGACGCTCTATAACTGGGATGCTCTCTCACTTGGACTCTCTACCGCGGACATTCAGACGCTCTCTAACACAGACGCTCTATAACTGGGATGCTCTCTCACTTGGACTCTCTACCGCGGACATTCAGACTCTCTCTAACGCAGATGCTCTATTACTGGGATGCTCTCTCACTTGGACTCTCTACCGCGGACATTCAGACTCTCTCTAACGCAGACGCTCTATTACTGGGATGCTCTCTCACTTGGACTCTCTACTGCGGACATTCAGACACTCTCTAACGCAGACGCTCTATAACTGGGATGCTCTCTCACTTGGACTCTCTACCGCGGACATTCAGACGCTCTCTAACACAGACGCTCTATAACTGGGATGCTCTCTCACTTGGACTCTCTACCGCGGACATTCAGACGCTCTCTAACGCAGACGGTCTATTACTGGGATGCTCTGTCACTTGGAGTCTCTACCGCGGACATTCAGACGCTCTCTAACGCAGACGCTCTATAACTGGGATGCTCTCTCACTTGGACTCTCTACTGCGGACATTCAGACGCTCTCTATCGCAGACGCTCTATTACTGGGATGCTCTCTCACTTGGACTCTCTACTGCGGACATTCAGACACTCTCTATAGCAGACGCTCTATTACTGGGATGCTCTCTCACTTGGTCTCTCTACTGCGGGCATTCAGACGCTCCTTAAACAGCTCCGACACAGGATGACACAGGGCGACATGCAGATTGTGAGGATGTAGGTCACTGACATTGTATGTAAATGGTACAGAAAAACATAGTGACTGTAGCAATACATTTGTACATAAGACTTTATAAAACTCAATTTAAATGGTTTTCCAAAGGTTTTGAAGAAAAATACATGGACACATTTAACTTTGGTGCTTCTCTATCTGTGAAGTATGACATCCTAAATATTCCTTCAGCAGGAGACGCCATCATTGTGATTTGACGAGGAACTAAACCTTGTGTGGTTTACTTTATTCTAATTGTGGTTCCACTCAATAATCTATGCTTCATATGTTACCCAAAGATTAGTGTTAATTTGACCATGGTAGAATTAAGAGATACACCTACTGTATTTTCAATGCAGAGCTATGCTGCCTGTTGATTGACGGTACTTCATTTCACATTTTAAACCTCACGTTGCACACTTCGTCACAAATTCAATTTTTTTATAGTCGAACCTACAGGTAACATATATGAAGCTTAGTAAGTTTATATCCAAATTAGACCACTGTGAAATTCAACTGACTGTAACTGAAGAAATATGTTTGGAACACAAATATAGAATATTGCTAAAAGCGGCGTAAAACCATATTCACTCCCTCACTAATGACCTGGTACTTCGATCTGAATCGCCCAATAACTTACAGGAATTTCATGGGTACATATTGAAGTGGTCAACATGCATTAACCAAGTCAGCGAGTCTGACCACCCGATCCCGTTAGTCGACCCTTACGACAAGCACAGTCGCCTTTTACGGCAAGTATGGGTTGCTGAAGACCTATATATTCTACCCCGGATCTTCATGGGTCACTCAGAGGCCGAGATATCTTAGAAACCCTAAAGGAGCACTTACAAGTAACCATGGCTCCTGTGTAATTAGAATCTGGAGACACGTACTGATGTCAAGCGTAGGGAATTGGTTAGAACTGTAGCATCTATCATTTGTCAGGATTAAAAATTTCTGTTAGTCATTCATTACCACCTTTTTGACTTTTTGACAATGTTTCAAGATACAAGATAAAGCCCGATTGTTTTGAATTAATGAATTTAATAGGTTCATTTCAATAGGTTCTACCTTGGAGTCTCAGCAGACGAATGTTACAAATCAATCAAAGCTCTTAATTTCATATACTTAGCATCAATGATAATTTCTGTTGGAAATGGAACCAGTACATATGTAATCAAACATTTTGATTTAGCATAGGAACAAAGAAGGAAACTCCATCAAAGTCTTGTGGGTATCAAACGTCTGTGACATGTTCACTCAGTTGGTGGAATTGGAACGGTTACTTTGCTTTGCCCAAATGGTTGAAATTTGACACTCTCTGGATACTGAAAAGCCTGCGGGCTGACATACTTCAAGGCAGTGTCAGTTCTAAGTATGTCCGCAGACGCTATCACAATAACGGAAACCCTCATGCCGTACCGGACCTCCTCCGTTGTGATTGGCTCAGCAGTATCAGCGTCAATGATAGCAATGAGGTCAGGGACGCACGCAATGACGTCACCTTCGTCATTGTTCTCACCTAGAGGTATTATTACTAAATTCTCGTTTTGGAAATTGATGAGTACCTTTTGTCCAGAATACTTCTCTAACCCCTCGATGATGACACGACCTTTGTTGTAGCCACCTCTGGTCTCCCTTTGAACATCTCTGATCTTCCCAATCATGACATGAATAGATGTCTCTGTTTTAAGAATTGCTTCAATGGGCGACGTCTTCTCTATTCTTGAACGGAGGATGGCGTTTCCCAGTCTCCAAGCGCGACTGATGGTGTGCTGGACACATTTCGTCAGAACATCCTCTTTGACAAGAGGAGAGAAAGAACAGCCAGCTGAACATCCCATTTCGGTCACAACATCCCGGAAGTGATGTTCAACAAGAGTTGCGGTAGGAGCTTCTAGCATCACAGCCCGACGGTTTCTGTCGTCCACCAGTGCTGTAGGATATGCAGGAAGGCCATACATGTACGGGCACATCATGCTGAGCTTCGGGAATGCTCTCCCCATTGTGTCAGCATCCACAACGGGAAGATTAAGATCGGCAGCGACTAGGTATGGTTCAATGGCATTCATTCCTCCAATTTCAACAGCCATTAAAGCTTTGATTTGTTTTCCTTTGACTGAAGGGGAACCTGAGTTGTGACTGCCCGTTTGTTGGTAATCACTTATGAACCGCATGCCAGCTTTCTCTTCAATCGTGACTCCTGACTTGTTGTCTAGTGTCCCGTTTTGGAACCGGCCAATGTTAAATACATCCTCTATACATCTCAGCGCTGCAGATGTTTCTTTAGATGACACAAGCTGTTCATACATTATCAGTGGCGCTCCATAAAAACAGACAATGCTAACGAGATCGTTTTCGGGATCTGCATTCATCAGCAGACGTTCTGGGGTTATGATTTTAATTTCTTTCCCACTCCGAACAGCTTCTAAAGCGCGGAGCCTCCCAAGGTGGGGATTTCCTCCGCCTCCACATCCGAAAATACCAGCTCCAACAACAATACATTCGATGTCCCATTCTGATAAACTCCACGCCCCAGTTTCAGGGTCAATTGTGGGATCCATGGGAACCTTGGTTGCATCGTTTCCATCATCCTTTCCGGACAGTTTAGTTCCCCCAGCAGACACCTCTTGTTTTGAATGCATAGTTTTCAGTGATAGAGATCCCAAATTTTCATCTTCAGGAGCAAGCCATTTTTCAACCTTGACATTTCTCTGCACATGGTCCGCGAGATCGCCAACTACCTTCACCTTGATTCTTGTCGCTTGACCCGGCATGTAGGACAACGTCATATCTTGTTTTTCTGCAACGTGTACAGTGGACGAATCAGCCCCTGCCTCAACTGCTACAGCTGTAGCTCTTGTTATAGCTGAGGCTAAGGCTTCATCTCTTGCCTTAACGATGAATGGTTTTCTTGCAAGCTCTTCTGCCATTTCGCTTTCCTTTCCATCAGGATCTTCTGTTACCCTGCCAAGAGCCTCCTCCACACATTTGTCCATGGCTGTCCTGTCTATCATGTCTAATATACTGACGACGTAATCAATACTACCTGACACCTGACTAAGAGCAGCCCCAATAGCGTTTGCGACACCATAATGTTGCGGCATTAAGACTTCAGAGGCACCAGTTAGATTTCGCTTCAGGTCCACAAGGATACTGCCACCTCCCACGAGGATTACAGGCAGTGATTGATCACTCAGTTTAACCTTGTCAATAGATGCCTCAATCATTTCATGCATCCGGTCCAGCGCCATCGTTACAACAGTTTCTGAAATGCCTTGTATGAAGTCCTTGTTGCCAAGCTCAACTAAACCTGCAGCAACAGCTATGTCTGTTGTTGTGATGGATCTCCCTTCCTCTCCAGCCTCGCTGCTGAAGACCAGTGCCTCGTTCTTTAAGTTGAACCCAGCACTCAATGGTCCCACGGCAATGCTTGAGATCCCATCTGACTCGTTTGTTCGAGGAATTACATACGAACCTCCTCCAAGACCAATACTTAGAACATCGGGCATGCGGAAATTGGTCCTGACGCCACCTATCTTGACCTGAGTTGATGCTTCTCGTGGGAAGCCATTCTTCAAAACACCAACATCGGTCGTTGTACCTCCGATGTCAACCACTATTGCATCCTCTATCGCTGACAGGAATGCTGCTCCTCGCATGCTGTTGGTAGGCCCGGAAGCGAATGTAAAGACCGGATATTGTCTAGCCTTGTCTGAACTGATGATGGTTCCGTCATTCTGCGTGAGGTAGATAGGACAGTCCAGGCCAATATTTCCTAAGGCGTCTCTGAAACCATCGATTGTTCGTTGACAAAGTGGCTTGAGGCATTCGTTCAGAATTGCAGCATTTTCTCTTTCAAGCAACCCAAGATGACCAATGTCGTGTGATAGCGTCACGCTGGCATCTGGCGTTATTTCCCTGAGGATTTTCTCCACTTCAAGTTCCTGATCATATCTAATGGGGGAGAAAACCCCACAAACAACAAACCCTATGTCTCCTGATGCTTTCACAATCTTCTCAATCTCGTCCCTTTTGACATCATCAATCGCCCTTCCATCAAATCGGTACCCACCAGCAACAAGATGCGTCGTATGACAAATGATATCCTTCAAATGCTTTGGAAAGTCGCTAAATGGCGGAAGAGCTTCTGACACTGAACCACAGAGACGGATAACTGACACCTTCGCTAAATCCCTCCCCTGTACTGCAGCGTTTACGAAGTGGGTGGTTCCTATGTTGACTTGGACAACACCGACAGACGTCCCAGACCTGCACGCTTCACTCAGGACCTTGCTGACCGCTCTCTGCACCCCGGTAGTCACGTCACTGGTGGTAAGCTCCTTCACACCAGCAATGACCACGGGCTTGTCGACGTCCTTCGTTATGACAACGGCATCAGTGTTGGTCCCTCCTACATCTACGCCTACGACGACTGGAATCACGGGCTTGTCGCTCATATTTCTGTACTGAAATACAAACACGTCATGTGTCAAAATGAACTGCATAGAACACATATGAATCTGTATATTACCTAATGATATTGCTCCAATAACGAGCACAAATGGTATGTGATGACAAATTTAAGCTTCCTAATCAGGTCTATAACTCAGCCACGTTTTAGTGACGTTTCCAATGTATTAAAGCTGTTCGTATTAGCATTCTGAGTGAGTGAGTATGGCTTTACGCCGCTTTTAGCAATATTCCAGCAATATCACCACCAGAAATGGGCTTCACACATTGTACCCATGTAGGGAATCGAACCCGGCTCTTCGGCAAGAACGGTTAAACAACCAGGCTACCCGACCGCCCCATTTTAGCATTCCGAAGTGCCATGATATGCTTGATACACCCATGATTGGGTGTTTGTAACATGATATTTGATTTGTAAAGACAAAACCATTATCGAAAACACACATACTACACCCTATATAGGTTTACAGACACTGTGATTTACCTTGACGTCCAGCTGAGGAAAGATTCTGAGTTGAATATTGAAGCAATGTATGAGTGAGCACGTATAACACCTAGCTGGTGTAAGCTCTTTAATCCAGGTCACCAGCTACGTGTATTGTTATCACTTTGGGAAACTAGGCCAAAGTCTAATGGACATTATATTGTCCGGTCACAGGCTTGTTAAGGTCCTTCGTTATAACAACGACTTCGGTGTCCATGACGACTGGACGGCGAGAGCTTGTCAGTCATATTTCTATGCTAAAATGTAACCAAAGTTCGCTATCGTGCGATAGGCAACGTGATTAATGAATCATTGCTAATGAGTGTATAGCTGTCCCCTTCAAACTATCACCCACGCTTAACATCGTTTATCAATATTTTAGATTTCAATCAGGGCTATTCTTACATTTCATTTCATCATCCTCATAAAATAATACCCCTTGAATATTTATGTTTACATCTTGGTAACTCATACCAAATGTTTAGCGCAGTGGGTTTTATTTGTGGTTAAATGATTCGCTCGTCCCGCCGAAGACCCAGGTTCTGAACCCAGTTCGCCCAGATTATATTTTGTTTGGTTTGTCAGTACCGTAAATATATACCTACACCGTGGGTTTCACCCAAGTGGAAAATCTTTATTATATACAACACTTCGGGCTTTCCTGCCACATCACGTTGACACGCCGTTATATAACTGAAATACTGTTCAAATCGGCGTAAAATCATCTTCACTTACTGACTCACTTGTGAGTCGGCTTCACTTAACTTGTCACACATGCCACATATAAGTAAAATCGATTTCATGTTGGGAAAGATCACATTCACATTATTGAAGTAGAGGCTCGATTTCGGTAAACGACCGCCTCCGATGTACCAGAGAGAGGAAGGTCGGTGGTTCGATTCCCGGCCGCGTCGTTCGCGACGTTAAAAAAATGTACTTGTTGTTACCCTGCCTGGTGTTCGGTATTAAGGGAATAAAACAAGGACAGGTCGGTTCGGACCAGTATGCTGTGTCTGAGTGGAATATCCATACTAAACGACATCATGGTACATGTATCTCCTTGGTCTAGCCCTGTAACATTGGACTAGTACAGACAGCCACAGACACACGTGCATACGTCGCTAAAACGTGCAAAGACGTTGAACGCGACATTAAACTCAATGTCACCCTTACCTTCTTGTTTGAAATATACCAGCTGCGTTCCCCATATTCGTTAGCCGTAACAAGGAGTACAAGTACAAGTACAAGGAGTTTGGGGAATTCATTGTTGTGTCTGTATTGTCTTTAAGTTTCCTGTTGTGTGATGCACCTTGGTTGACGATACCTACAGAACCGAGCAGCGGGCAGTATGATCCTTCATTGGGGCTATAAGAGAGTGAGTGAGAAACTATGGTTTTACGCCGCTTTGATCAATATTTCCGCAATATCACAACGGGTGACACTAGAAATGGGCTTCACACATTGTTCCCATGTAGGGAATCGAACCCGGGTCTTTTGGCCTTAGGGGTGAACGTTCTAACTACTTGGCTACCCCACAGCCCCCGCTTTTGGAGAAAAACGTTTTGATTAGCGAGTGAGTGTTTTTCCGCCTCGGGTATTTGCTGCGATGAACAGTACAGTGAATATTACGCCGATGAATTGATCTCCATCAGAGACTAACACGAAGACTGGGTGGTTTGTAATGGCTGAATGTGTGCCATTCGTGCTCATGCTATCAACCATTGGTTAACCTGGTACAGACTCGATTATTCACGGGCCCCAGTGATATGATTATGTATTGTTTATATATTTGAAAAGCTGGTGGCAAGGAATCCCTTTTCGAATTGTACCAGGTGAAAGGCCAGTTTTTGTTTCTGCCTGATAGATGCGCCAACATTATCAATATATACTCAACAACAAAAGTTCCTGTGACACCAATATTTTAGTGGATTTTTCAAACAAGTAAAGTTTGGTTTTCAATATTGTAGTAGATGTATGGAATCAAGTCACAAAACGCAACTGCTACAGGAAAGCATGCATTCCATGCAAAAGTTGACTTTTATGCAAGCCCAATGCATTTCACTACCCAAGAATGGGTATAAAAACATGTGCGTTAACGGGATTCCACATGTATTGTTGAGCATCGTGCTGACAACAACCACTCAGAAAAACAACAAAATTACGCAATTATTCAACATTACGCCTGTCCAAAAATGAGCGTCTGCAAGCCATTGGTATGCTCAAAGCAGGATCGAGTCAACGTCATGTTGCAAAACAATTTAACGTCCACAGAAACACCATTTGGTGTTTATGGCAACGTTGGTAACAGACGAATGCAGTCAGAGACCATCCTCGGAGTAGCAGGCAACGCGTAACCAATAATCGACAAGACAACTGGATTCGAACAACACACCTACGAAATGGATTCCAGCCAGCAACAGTGACTGCAAGAAGCATCCCTTGCCTTCGACGAATATCTTCACAAACCGTACGTCGCCGCCTCAGATGTGCAGGGATTGTCGCCAGAAGACCCGCCAGACGTCCCATTTTGACAGGAAACCACCGTCAAACAGGTCTACAGTGGTGCAGACAGCGTTTACGCTGGACGGCCATGCAGTGGGGACAAGTTCTATTCACCTCAGCCACAGCGATGGACGGATTCGAGTGTACCGACGTCGAGGTGAACGTTACGTCAATCATTGTGAAATGGAAGAAGATCGGTTTGGGGGCGGCAGCGTTATGGTATGGGGTGGGATTACAGCAAGACAGAGGACCCGTTTGATAGTGTTAGAGGGAAATCTCGATGGACAGCGCTACCGCGACGAAATCATCGGCCCTGTTGTTCTACCGTTTTTGCGTCGTCATGGCCCAGGCATTACCTTTCAACATGACAACGCCCGGCCTCATATTGCTCGACTTGTTCAGGTTTCTCTTAAAAAAAACGACGTGAATGTCATCCCCGGGCCGGCTCGGTCCCCTGATCTCTCACCAATCGAGCACATGTGGGATGAGATGGATCAGCGCCTTCGACGTCAACCACGTGTTCCACAGACACTCCAGGAATTTCAACCAGAGGTGGACACACACGCTATTGATTTGTAAATTGACATTTTGTCAGTTTCATGGGGTTTTTTTATGAAATCGCGCATTTTCTGAAGTCATTATAGCAAATTAAACCATTTACAGGAGTCTTTTATCGGGTGCAAACCGAAATTGTTTCAGATTTGGTAAAAAACATAACTTTTTATTAAATCTTATTCAATGTCTCAGGAACTTTTGTTGTTCAGTATATACATGTATATATACATGAGTCCAAGCATATCAGCTTCACCAGCCACCTCATCCGTCCATAGCCTTCGACACGTGATATGATAACGACATAGGTCAAAGTATAGATAAGATCACGCACGTATTCCACAAGAAGAGATATAGTGGGATTTGAAATCAGATATATCTACGCTTGCTACAACCTTGTATTAGTGTCAGAGCATCTTGGGATATGTATTACAAATGTATTGTTAGATATGATAAGTATACGATATTCTTTGCTAAATTATTAATGAATAATATCTTACGCTAAGTCTAAATAATATTAAAACCAAATGATATACTAGTCTTACACATAATCAATGTATCTCAACAAAACACATTCATTTCAGAGAGTGTTATGATATTTGTGTGAAATCTAGGCTTCGAACCCACCATCATCGATTTCTAGCATAGCTAAGGTACTTAACTCTGCACGACGAAGCACTACAGTACAGTTCAAAGACCATCATTTTACAGTGGAATGTGGAACGCTGTGTATGTTGAGTATAACTGTAATTTTATTACGATTAGATCGACCTTTGTGATGTTAGAAATAACAAAGCGCGTGATGCATGTATAAAGGTTATCGGTCTGGTCGCCTTGTCGGAACAAAAGAAGTTTATTGTGATTACAAACGTTTGGGTAAATACAAACTAGGGAATGAAAAATAGATGAAATCGACGCATCTCATGTTTATTCGCATATAATCTTTAACAATTTGTATCACAGTTTGAAATCATTTTAGTACTGTTGTCACAGCTCCCGATGATGTAAGCAGGTGGGAGGCAGCACCTGCAGTATGGAAGACATCCATGTCAGCAGTCTGCAGTCTGTGTTTAAGTAGCTTCGGGCTTCTGGTAATGACTGTGTATGTCTATTCTTCTGTTGATTTGCCATAGTAATAGCGTCTCAAAACTATTTCGGCATTTATACCCTAACAACCATAGTGTTATCACATTAGCACATCTTTATATGAGGAACTATGTGAGTGAATTCATATCATATTATAACTAGCCATCTTCCCGGGGAACGTGTCTGTATAAGTCCAATTTCCACCCTTGACGAACTAGGCTGGAAGTTTTGCGCTCCATCGTAGCGTCAACAGTGACTAATACGAGTTATGTCCCTTTGTTTGTTTGTTTGTTGTTTAACGCCACACTCAGCGATATTCCAGCTATATAACGGCGGTCTGTAAATAATCGAGTCTGAACCAGACAATCCAGTGGTTGACATCATGAGCATCAATTCACGCAATTGGGATACGATGACATGCATCAACCAAGTCAGCGAGCCTGACCACCCACTCCCGTTAGTAGCCTCTTACGACAAGCATAGTCGCTTTTTACGGCAAGCATGGGTTGCTGAAGCTCTATTCTCTTACCGGGTCTTCACGGGTCCCTTCAGATTCCATCTCTCATATAACTTTCATTTGGTTCAAATAAAACGGCGTCGCCCAGTGAAGACGATCTGATCGATGATCAAGATCTATATTGTAATAACACGGTCATACTTCGCTAAGTGCATCAAATCACATTAGCGCCTTTATTAGAAACATGAAAAGATATGGAAAATATCCCATGAACGCTAAGTTGTCGGTACACATGCTTTGGAAATCCTGCAAACGACCGAAATCTGCATGACATTTTAGGAACCGGATGTCGATTTCCTTACGCGATTTGGATTGGACTATACATAGACTCGTTAGTACAGCCAAACTAAAACTCATTATTCCAGCCTTGTGCGGCAAGTGTGGAAACTGAACTTTTAGTAAGTTAACTCCCCTGCCTCGGGAAGATGATGACTATCTGGTTAGGTAGCATTATTATTTATCACCTTTGTACGCATCTCCAGCCAATGCAGATATATGTATCCTAGCACATAAACTCACAATGATGGTTGCTATGTTCATTTTCTCGCCCAACAAATTATATTGTGACACGGAAATGATACCAATACATGCATTTCCTAAGTTCCATCACTGATGTCGTGTGTGTGGATGTACCTATCATCCACAGACACGTACATCACATTATCCTCATCCACATACACAGCTCGTGGATCGGACACCTCATCAGCAAAGGTGAGTATATCTCTCACAAACCCCCCTGTTGGGCTCAGCTGAATCACCTTATGGTTGTTCCTGTCTGCTATGTAGATGCCTCCTGCCCCGCCCTGACACACCCCGAGCGGACGACTCATCATAAAGCTCTCCCCGGGCTGGTACTCAAACTCCAGTGATCCGTCAATATTCACACACACAACCTTGTTACATTTCCAGTCCGACACGAGGAGCTTGTTGTCCAGTGTTGCATGCAAGAACAGAGGTTTAACAAACATGTCAACACCAAAACATCGGAGTCTCGTCCCTGAGAGATCGATGACGTCAATGACGCCTACCTCCTCCCCACTTGCTGCCAGTGTTGTAGAGTCCAAGCAGGCCAACCCGATATAGCGTAGCTGGGTTTTGATTATCGAGTCTTTTTGCAGTTTGGGACTTACAGAAAGAACCACTAATTGTTTCTTCTTTGGAACTGCGGTGACAGCCTTTGGCGAGTCTAAGTTTGTAATACCGTATGGGTGACTGTCCAATTTTAGATAACTGCTGCTGGATTTTCCCGTTGATATATGAAACAAATGCACCATTCTATCTTCAGGTTGTGTTACAACGATAGTTTTAGTGCCCTCAAACGAGACCACTGTTAGGTCATGCAATCCTGTCCTCCCGATATCAAACCGTTTCACGTCACTGCACTTGTTCTTATTGTCTGTCGCCCCGGTTATGTGGCCAACTGTCACCCTTCGCAAAGACGTCATCAATGAGCTTTTGTTGTCCATAAACTTAACATCCACAATACCTTTGGTGTCCAGTTTATCAGCTTCTCTCGACTTGTCATTGTCGTCAGCAGCTGAGAATATCTTGTAAACTTCATAATGGTCCATTGTGGTTGCAGATGACAAGGCTTTGTTGGCAAACATTATCCTTTGATGGGCATCCTTCAGCTGCATCTCGTTATGTCTGACATCCTTCATCAGGACCAGATCAGCCTCATCCTTCCTCTGCTTCAGTCGCCCTTTCAACTGGCTCTGCTGATGTCGTATTTCGGCGACAAGTTCGTCGCATGTGTCGTCGATCCCTTTTTCTGCCGCTTCATAAGTGCTAGCATATTGTTCAACCTTTTCATTCCAAACAGCGATGCGTTCTTCCAGTTTAGGGATCTTGGTTTTCAGGTCATATTTCAGCTTCTGCAAAAGGGCATCTATTCTTAAAGCTGATTCTGCTAGTGGTACCACCTTATTACATCCTCTATGGTCCAGGATGCAACATCGGGAACACACGGCTTCATCGCAGTCCTCACACAGGAGGTCAATGACCTCATCTTCATGCTTGTCACATCTTGCACGTCTTGGTACTGTTTTTATCACGTCCCCCGTGACATCAGATGCTGTGTGGGATGTATGAAGTTTTCTATGTACCCTTTCACAGTCCGAGCACATCGACTCTCCGCATTCCGGACACCAGACAGCGGCATTCTTTGTTTTTTCCTCATCCGCACAGATGCTGCAGTCTGTGTGTTCAGCCACTGTAACATGAGCACATGACTCTGGATGAGTGAGTGAGTTGAACTTTATGCCGCTTTTAGCACACAAGCAATATCACAGCAGGGGACACCAGAAATGGGCTTCACACATTGTACCCATATGGGGAATCGAACCAGGGCCTTCAGCGTAACGAGAAAACGATTTAACCACAAGGCTACCCCACTGCCCCGACTCCGGATGACAAGCCGGATGTCACATAAGCCTATCTGAACCTTTTAACCAATTTATATCATAATGGTTGATATGTTTTATAGGATCCTTGAATCATATTACATATTATGGTTTTAAACGAAATTAGTATTTCTTATGATTTTACTTCTGAAAATGATACCTGGGTCAGTTATTATAAGAGTGTGAAAATGAAGCTTCCTATTTGCAAAGAGCATGTTTACAGCCCAGTTAAAAGAAAATCTTTCACCCTTGTGTGAAGATTATTTATTCCGTTAACAAACCTCCATCTTCTGCAACGGTACCAACGAGATTCTTGACAGAGGTGACCCCTCTCACCTGCCCCACCCATTCCTCAAGGGGTCGCTGGGGGTGAGGCACTCTTGTCTCCCCCTCACACAGGGGGCAACAGAGAACGTCTCCAGCTGAAAGGTACAAAGAAAACATGTGGGCGAGATGTTTCAAATACATGTTTCCGAGTTAATGCATGAACTACATTGTGCAACATACACTTCGAGCTTTCAAGCCTTGTTGGTATAAATGCATTCAAACTATTGCGTCTTATAATGTACAGGTATTTGAAATCTGAGAGAATTCAGAGATCGCTGACAAAAAGATATACTGTGTCTTAAATATTAATACATTAAGTTGAATATTGCACATGACGACTTGCAAAATTATCAGGTGGAGTGAGTTGAAATAGGGTTAAACGTTGCGTTGCTCTTTAGTGCATGCCTCTGTGTGTGTGTGTGTGTGTGTGTGTGTGTGTGTGTGTGTGTCTGTGTGTGTGTGTGTCTGTGTGTGTGTCTGTGTGTGTGTGTCTGTGTGTGTGTCTCTGTGTGTGTGTCTCTCTGTGTGTGTGTGTGTGTGTGTGTATGTGTGTGTGTGTGTGTGTCTGTGTGAGTGTGTGTCTGTGTGAAAGTATAGTTCAAGCCCACTGAGATACCATCCCGCAGTTTAACATGAATACCCCACTCAGACACAGTGTACTGACTCAGAGCCCACCAGTCCTTGTTTAGCCCCTTAATGCCGAGCGCCAGGCAGGGCAACAAAAAGTTCCATCTTTTAACGTATTTTGGTATGACGCGGTCAGGGGATCGAACCACCGGCCTTCCGCTAATCGGGTGATTATATATACCAAGTAGTGTACTTCCAATACATTCTCTTTACAGTCTCAAACCAATACACGAACTTCAATGTAGTATGATGTGTTCAGAATTTGCACAAACACAAACAAACTCCGACAATAGCATTGTCCCGAGACAGAAGATGACGTTATTCATTGATGACGTCACTGCATAAGTGGCCTCAATTATCAGTGTTGATATCAGTTTCCAGACAGTCGTTTATGTCGCATGGCGCCTCTCACTAGTTGACTACGGTGTGACTTCTAGTAATATATGTATGATAGCAATATAGTTACGTGTGGCGTCCTGCTGTTGCTGGGTGTGGTGGGTGTGGTTGGTGACACACGACCCACAAAAGCTGTGGCCGCAGTGGAGTGTCACGGGGACTGTGATTACATCGTCACAACTTATACAGGTGAGAACTGTCTGGGAATCATCAGTAGCCATGGTAACACAGGTGGAACGAAACTGAAAACGGCATGAGTTACAATTTACTACACAGTAGGCATGAAAACTCTCATTGTTTTGCCAGGCTATTTTTTTATCTCCTTATATACCCTTGCTGAATACTCCAATGTACACGTGGCTTATATAACTGAATCCAAAACAGAAATATATTCATGTATTTGCAGTGATATTTCTATCACACGTACAGAGATATGGGCACGCTGTAAAAGTGCATCTTTTAGGCCTGACAGAAACGTATGATCGTGGATGAGAATCTCAGACTCTCCATTGTTATGAATCTTGGAGTGGCAGCAATATAACTGTGGTCGTTGGTTTCAGCAGAGTGGGAAACATCTTAAGATAACTTCACTTCTGGGCCGTGATATAAATGAAATACTGTTTAAGAACACGTACAATGACAGAAATTTAACGGTTATAATATACCCAGTAAGGATATCGGCAAGTGTGTAAGCCTGGCGTTTATGACGATGAGACGTACTTCCATATAGCCTTTATATAGATGTTTGCAGCTACCTTCCGCGACTTACAAATCATCCCTACAAAACACCCTCTCGTACTTGTCGCACACTATGCTTTGTTAGGTGCGACATATGCTTTACAAACCTCGGTTACCTGTCCCATTCACATACAAACATACATACCTCACATAAATATGTTAATAGATAAATGTATTCACTACAGGCAATAGTTAACAATTCGCAATATACGTGTCTTCAATGATAGACATATGTTGGTGAAAGCAGTCTATGGCGGCTCATTCATTGCAGAGGGTTACTGATTTATCCCAAGCCTTGATTCGTGTTTTGAAAACCCAAGTCAACCCTACAAATGGATAACCCTGGAATGTGTCACTCGCTTGATCAGCCATGATCTCAATTCAAGACACATTATTCTTTTCATATAAAAAATAAATGCCAGTGTTATCACATTCTAATAATGACTTTACACACATCAACATATGTTGACTTACCTAAGTGATAGAATTAGGGATTAGGCGGGATTACCGGATTCATGGTTCTAACGATCCTGAAAATTCAGAAATGTGGGGAAATCAAATTCCATTTTATTGTTTGTTTTTATAAATGCCAAGGCTGATAATTACACTGTTTTTGTTCATGGCCCAGACAAGTAGTACACACTTAATGCACTGTTCCCTCTAATACTTGACGTGGGTTCATCGGTACTTCAATCTGTCTATGACTTTGTTCTCACAAAAACGTGGAAATGGAAGGTGGAAAATTCAAAATAAAAACTTATCCTACCGACCTATATTTTCGCAAAAGGAATAAAAATAAACTCACTGAAGGTCTAATTATATTCTTATTTCAGTCTCGACCATCGGCCAAATGTTTCTCATACCACAATCCGTCAGACAACCAATAAAGGCCTTGATTTATTACAAATATAAACTGTGCAGTATTCACGTTATATATACCTGCTTTAAGATTTAACGGCACACGTTTTCAAACACAAATTTACGTATGGTAAATAGGTAAGTTTATACATTAAACATCCACGATTAATGTTTAACCTGCGAGCAAATATCCGCATTGCTTCACTGCTACGGGTGGAGCAGGACATGCTTACCCTTTTCGCGAACACCTGGTGTCATCACTGATTCAGTGATCAGTTCACGTCATTTTCACCACTATTTGCCTTCTGTGCCCAATGGAATCTGTGTCCGCGCATATTGGAGACTTATCCTTCACTACCGTTGACGTCTTGTATCAAATCTTTTCCTGATCATCAGTAAATTATTTTACAGCATCGGTTGGGATCAAATAACCATTGTCTACCTTTCTTAATCCCTCTTACCTTGATTGGATCGGCGACCTGTGTTATGTTCCGCCATGGAGTGCGTTTACCTGGTTGCCATGGGTAACGGCTGGAAGAGGGTTGCCCAGTGCGTCCATAACACCTTGAAGAACGCCAGGCCGAAATAGGTGTTATAACATAGATACAATGAGCAACGTCAGTGATAGATAGGGACTAGGGTAATATTCTAACTTCTATATGAATTCAGATATAGTGCAGCAAGGTTCTTTAAACGCTTTAAACGTTAACCGCTGTCTGTGTACAATGGGTGTCGGGTCATGTTGACATACATACACTGTACACCTGGGTCCCGTTTACACGAAGCGATCTCCTCGTTACGACTGTCGTTAAGTATGGGACTTGCGACCACATTGGCTCTAGTGTCGCTTTGTGAACGAGGCCTTTGGTGTCGTTGTACAAATCAATCTTAGCGCTACGACTATCGTAAGTCTATGTTGAAGAATGGGAGTTGCGACCACCTTAGCGTTAAGGTTGCTTTGTACAACAGCAACCAGACCCTCGCTCTACGAAACGATTTTAGAGCTAGTCGATTGTAACTCCCTTACACGCGACCAGCTGGTGAAACATACAGTGATCTGGTATATCATCCCGCACCACTCTCCATTCATCAACTTATCACCCCGCCCCCACTCTCAACTTATCACCCTGCACCCACTCTCCACTTATCACCCCGCCCCCACTCTCCACTTATCAGCCCGCACCACTCTCCACTTATCACCCCGCACCACTCTCCACTTATCACCCCGCACCACTCTCCACTTATCCACTAATAACCCCGCACCACTCTCCACTTATCACCCCGCACCACTCTCCACTTATCACCCCGCCCCCACTCTCCACTTATCACCCCGCCCCCACTCTCCACTTATCACCCCGCACCACTCTCCACTTATCCACTTATCACCCTGCCCCCACTCTCCACTTATCACCCCGCACCACTCTCCACTTATCCACTAATAACCCCGCACCACTCTCCACTTATCACCCCGCACCACTCTCCACTTATCACCCCGCCCCCACTCTCCACTTATCACCCCGCCCCCACTCTTCACTTATCACCCCGCACCACTCTTCACTTATCCACTTATCACCCCGCCCCCACTCTCCACTTATCATCCCGCCCCAACTCTCCACTTATCACCCGGCACCACTCTTCACTTATCCACCTATCACCCCGCACCACTCTCCACTTATCCACTTATAACCCCGCACCACTCTCCACTTATCACCCTGCCCCCACTCTCCACTTATCACCCCGCCCCCACTCTCCACTTATCACCCCGCACCACTCTTCACTTATCCACTTATCACCCCGCCCCCACTCTCCACTAACCACCCCGCCCCAACTCTCCACTTATCACCCCGCACCACTCTTCACTTATCCACTTATCACCCCGCACCACTCTCCACTTATCCACTTTTAACCCCGCACCACTCTCCACTTATCACCCCGCCCCCACTCTCCACTTATCACCCCGCCCCCACTCTCCACTTATCGCCCCGCCCCCACTCTCCACTTATCACCCCGCACCACTCTTCACTTATCCACTTATCACCCCGCCCCCACTCTCCACTTATCACCCCGCCCCCACTCTCCACTTATCACCCCGCACCACTCTTCACTTATCCACTTATCACCCCGCACCACTCGTCACTTATCCACTTATAACCCCGCACCACTCTCCACTTATCACCCCGCACCACTCTCCACTTATCACCCCGCACCACTCTCCACTTATCACCCCGCACCACTCTCCACCCCGACCCACTCTCCACTTATCACCCCGCACCACTCTCCACTTATCACCCCGCACCACTCTCCACTTATCACCCCGCCCCCACTCTCCACTTATCACCCCGCACCACTCTCCACTTATCACCCCGCACCACTCTCCACTTATCACCCCGCACCACTCTCCACTTATCACCCCGCACCACTCTCCACTTATCACCCCGCACCACTCTCCACCCCGACCCACTCTCCACTTATCACCCCGCCCCCACTCTCCACTTATCACCCCGCACCACTCTCCACTTATCACCCCGCACCACTCTCCACCCCGACCCACTCTCCACTTATCACCCCGCACCACTCTCCACTTATCACCCCGCCCCCACTCTCCACTTATCACCCCGACCCACTCTCCACTTATCACCCCGCACCACTCTCCACTTATCACCCCGCACCACTCTCCACTTATCACCCCGCACCACTCTCCACTTATCACCCCGCACCACTCTCCACTTATCACCCCGCACCACTCTCCACCCCGACCCACTCTCCACTTATCACCCCGCACCACTCTCCACTTATCACCCCGCACCACTCTCCACTTATCACCCCGCACCACTCTCCACCCCGACCCACTCTCCACTTATCACCCCGCACCACTCTCCACTTATCACCCCGCACCACTCTCCACTTATCACCCCGCACCACTCTCCACCCCGACCCACTCTCCACTTATCACCCCGCACCACTCTCCACTTATCACCCCGCACCACTCTCCACTTATCACCCCGCCCCCACTCTCCACTTATCACCCCGCACCACTCTCCACTTATCCTTTTCTCGCTCCGCACCTCCGCCTTCAAGTCAGCCCAGTGTGCGTGAGGTGCATCCCCTGAAGTCCCCTGTCAGCTGCCAGAATAGACAAAACAGTAAATGACTATGACTAAAACTGTCCTCAGAGTTTTTCGTTGATACGAGTGCGCGCAGTCATAATGTATGCCATTTTTGTCAATGTTTGTCAAAATCCTGTCTTCTGTACACAATCACTCTGGCTGCATACGTTACAAAAACATTTCTTGCAATTAAAATGATCAAATGTTTTTCGCTCTCTCAATATACAACTATTTAATACAGCTAGATTGCATCCGTATTTCGTATTCACGTAAATGTTTAATTTCGATTTGGGTATACCAAAACCCTACCCAGATACGTTGTTTACCAACCCTATATAATCTGTCGTTACGTTCACAAAGTTCCGTCTCTCTGTGTGACACAATAGATCTGAAGCAGTGCATAATGATGGGTTGTTGGATTTAACACCATCCGCCATCACTGGATGACCACGTTTGTTAGCGCCGGGTAAACAGTATAGCAATGGAGGTCGCCACTTGTGAAGAGCAGCCCGCGAAACACGTCGTGTTTCCAGCGTCTGCCCTTCCTTGTACATCTTCCCATCCCAATATTGGTGACAGGGCTGTGGTTGTGAAACATGGGCCCCAAATGGGTATTACGGATACTCCTTATTCATTGAACCAGGAGACGCAATGAGACTCATTTAAAGTGTAGCTTGCTGTAAAACGTTGCTCTATCGTTTGTGTCTGCAGTTAGACTGGGTGATGAAGACACAATTCTCTCTCAGTTAACACTGAATAGGAACCCTGTTTGAGTTGTATTAACTCTTTTGACTACAAATGCAAGATACGGTGAAAGATGAGCTGGAGATTTGACAGATTGTAGTCCTGGCGTCGGATTTGAAGGGTCAACTCTCTTCACATACCCGGACAAGCCCGTATTTAATGACAATGGCGTCATCGTACTATTGGCCCCCGTTCATCAAGGCAAATGGCAGCCAAGTGTTGTTATTATACATTGTAACAGTCTATGCTATAGCTGGTATCAAAACCGAAAATTCTTCAACAAGTTCCATCAGACTGATTCCACCAAATTGGAGCTCCGTGTGTTCTCTGATACTCAACAACACCACCGTGGTTGACTGTGACATAGGACACGATGTGGCCATCAAATGGAAGTTTGACGATCTGAGAAATTGGACACTTAGCAACAGTGTGAATGTGACTTACCATCTAAATATCCGCTGTGTAGATGGTGTTAATATATCGCTTCCCTGGCCGTTCAAATCACCAGGTCTGATTGGATTAAAAGTCTCAAATTGCGGCATTGAAAATTATTACAAAAACTATCTGCGTAATTTTGAAGATTATCCGGACGAACTTGAGATGTTTGTAATCGAGCAATGCGTATTTATTGAAAACCCGTTGGATATTCTTAAGGTTTTCAATGGACCTGCAACGAAATCCTTTGTATGTGGACAGAGCGACAGCATAAAGAGGTACGTTTATAGAAACAACACAATAGTACTAAGAGGAAACCTTTCAGACATTAACGAGTACAATATAACCGAAGTGAATGATAACCTAAATACGGTGGGGATTCAGTGTAAGTTCTGGCACCTTCATGACATAGAGAACACGCAAAATGGATACTTATCAGAAAGTCACTTTCAAGTGTTCACTAAGGACAGCAACTACCCGTCTCTTACACACTGCAATTACTCGCATAACTTGATCAACAAACTGCCTTTGGTCTTTCAAAACTTCAGGACTTCGTTTCCGAAGCTGGAGGTTTTAGACCTATCTCATAATGTTATAACGCTTTGGGATTTTTCGTATCATGTCACTACATTAGTTGAGTCTACATACGTAGACCTTCGCTACAACAACATCACACATATAACGCTGGATGATATGGAGACACTTTCAGGTCTGGAGCCAGCCTTTGTTGATATCCGGGACAATCCGATATCTTGTGATTGCGCCATGAAGAAGTTTATGACTGAACTGAAATTTGGTTCTGTGTTTAAACCAAATATGGTGAAATATAAATATATTGAAAATATGACGTGTGTCACCCCTGAATCATTTAAAGGGATTCGTCTGAAAGAGTTCAACTTGGATGAACTTCCTTGTGAGGTGGACGATTCCCATTGGGCGTATCCCACTGTGATTTGTGCTGCTGTCACCTTGATCATCCTGTCCGTGATTCTCTTCTGCATATTATTCCCCAATCGGGAGTTGATTCAGATTCTGTGTTTGACAAGATGTAACATCCTTCTTCCAATGGCTACCCGGGACACCACCGTCAAGAACTATGACGTATTCATCGCCGCCTCTGAAGAAGACGAGGACTGGGTTGTGGACAATCTTCTATACAAGTTAGAAGACATCGATGTCTTTGACGTTACTGAGCATGCTTCGCAAACCCGGAAGTTAAATGTGTGTGTTCCAGGGCGTGACTTCCGGCCGGGGGCCTTCACCATCGACGAAATTATTGACAAAACAGAAAAGAGCAGAAGAACTCTGGTGGTTCTGTCCAAATCTTTTGTGGAGTCTCGAATGTGCGGGGAGATGTTACGACAAGCCTATTTTCAGAGTATTGTTGAAAGGAGATGTCATTTGGTGTTTGTGAAACTTGAACAAATTGATTTAAATGGTATCGACTCTACCCTGAAGAGGAGTTTAAAACTGTTCACTGTACTGAATGTCGCGGACAGATACTTTTGGGATATGATCCAGTTTCTTCTAAAGACCACGTCAAAGAAAAGCCGTGCCAAGAATTCAACAACTCCGGATGCTTAAAAGAACACCACCTTCGCATTAAGCTACTGACAATGGTGCCATTGGGGTGTAGAAAATAGTATCCTAGAAATAGCGTGAATCTGTTGGGTACAACCTTCAACACTATTTAGGATATAACTCGTCATTTCTTCTTAATGTATGAAAAACGCCCAAAGGACTTTTGACTTTATAACGACCACATTCACAGATTGCAATTATCTCCATATATGTTCGCAGTGCATTTCAAGTGCCAGGCTTTTAGGATCGACGTATTTCAGAGAATTTTAGCAGAATAAGAAATCACACGTAGGATTGGTAAGTTTTGTAAGTGTTGAACTCGATTTAGAAATAATATATTGACAGCGACCTGATATGGAGTGGAAGTATACGGGTTACCTATTCATAGTGGGGTTTGGTACATGCCTGGTTGGACGTGGTTGATTGAACGTTGTAACAGTGTACAGATAGACAGAGTCACCTTCGATATGTTCACTGTATATGCGAAGATGAACTGAATTCATTTTTGCAATTGTGATGCGCCTGTCAATAAAGTATGATTACTGCACAATTTGTGATATTTTTATATTATATTCTGTAAGTTTCCTATTAGTATTCTATGTTTAGTTATATTCAGTACAGGAAGATCATCGTGGCGTTAATTTGTCCATGTTAGGCTGGGACTGTAGTTGTGGTTTTGATACCTTTGATAGTTAACAACTGCAGCTTTCTGTTGCGTAATTGAGTAGGGCTTTACCCCGCTTTTCTCAGTGTCCCAGACAGTCTCTCTATTGTGTAGTTATAAAAATTAATTAATGATATTGTTTGGGATGTATTTTAGAAACAAACTGTTTTCTGTACACACCTGTCTAGTTAGTAGATTGATCTTTTAAATGTTTTTTGTATGTTACAGTATAAACTTCAGTTCCGTCTCTTTACAATGGTAAATATAAATTGTCAGTGCATGAGAATAACCAGTCTAGATTATCCACCGATAGATTCCACTTGGCGTAAAAGGTAAAATAGCTGTGAAAATTATATGAATGGACCACTGAAATCAGTGATGACGCCAGGTGTTCGCGAAGATGGAGCACCCGCCATTCATACAACTTACATAAAAAAGTAAATGTTTTTTGCCTGACGCAGCACAGCACTACTCCTGCCATGCGACCTCACTCTGTATACACACCAGACAATCAAGTGATCGATGAACCAGAACATCCAGTGACATGATAGTGTATTTACTGATTTTGTTGAGACAAATGATAATATGTTCATTTTGAATTACAACTGTTGTGTACAAGTGCAGAGACTCTGTCGCTTATAAGTAACGAAAAAACGTTCAAGTGAGTGAGTTGGGTTTAACACCGCTTTTAACGCTTATATCACGGCGTGTCAGCTTAGTGTGGGAGGAAAGCCCGAAGTGATGCAGGTCTCAGACGTTTACCACTTTGGTGAAACCCACGAGCACGGGTATGGTCTTGACAAACCTAGAAACATAATCGGGGCGAACCGGGATTCGAACCCACAATCATGGGTTTCTGGCGTACCCAAGGGACGCAACTCTGCACAGCGAATCGCGACGCCTCAGACGACTGGGCCACCCGTGCCCCCTAAAAACGTTCAAGGAATATATTCGTTTTGCAACACAGTAACTTCCGTGTCGCATCTAATCTCATTAAAAATCAGATCTTAGACTACCGCTAAACAAAGATATGAGGACAGAACGACCATTCGCAAACTTTGACCGACCAATGAAATGACTGACAAGAAATCGACATTAGCCAATCAGAAGGCAGCTTTCTCGAGCTTTATGACACTAGTTTCAAACTGGCGACTACACTTCAAAACATATTTTGACGTATTCTCGATTAAAAATCCTGGAATGGCTACAGATGGCCTAGATTGTATGGGTATAGCTATAAAACCTGTAACAGTCGTTCGGAATACCCTCTATTAAATATTTCGAGGATGCATGATTAGAAAACACATTCCGACTGCAACTTTCGGGATATGGTAAGCGACGCTCTGATTGGTCGGATGAATTTAGCGGTAGCGAGAACTGAGATCTGATTTTAATGAGATTGGAGTCGCATCTTCCATACTTGCAGGTCAAACACGTTTGTTTTCCCGATCATTAAATCTGTGTTCACCAGTTACCTCAGTCTTAACGTCACATCATGAACAGATTGTCAACCAATGGAATGAAAAGATGCTACACTTCCATCAACTGCAGACGGATTCGGTCAGTTCATACCGAGTTGCCTCCCTTACATCAGCAGTTCTCGGCGCGTGGCTGAAGATTTCACGAAGCGCACGTACAATACAGCTACAATCATAGTTTTCGTTTTTCCGCAACTTGAGACATTATGCGCGCTTTGTAAATGAAAACAATGTATATAGTTTACTCATGTTACATTTTAAACAATAAGTGATCAGGTATATTGTCTTTGAGTGGTATGTTGTGATCTATATCGTCAGGCCATCAACAAGGCCTTCTGTTGGGATTGCTAAGGGTCGACTAGAGTATAATCGGTTGACCTGGTTGTAGCTCATCAATTTGCTGGTGCTATCAACGACCGGATAGATTTTTCACAGGCTGCTCTGCTATAACAAAAGCAGTGCTGTCAGAAGCGTTAAAGAGCATTCGCGCACAAACTCACTTTGCTCATTAGACGTGCATACCACATGCCGCTACTGAGAACATCGATGTTGCGGTGGGTACGATGACACACTAGATCAGCCAGGCCGCAACTAAGATTTGTTTGTATCTAACGCCGCTTTTGGCAATATTAAAGCTATATGACGGAAGTTTGTAAATAATCAAATCTGGACCAGACACTCCAGTGATTGACATCATGATCATCGATCCGAGCAATTGGCTTACGTTGACATGCATCAAACAAGTCAGGGAGCCTGGCCACCCGATCCCGTTAGTCGCTTCTTACACCACTAAGAACGGATTTAGTCAGTCACGTGACCGAGTGAATCACTTTACTGTCACACGTACAGTGTGTTAAGTCTTGACCCAGGCTCTCCTGGAATATGTTTTCTTGTACCACGTGATGTTCAACCAGAACAAACTGAGAAAGAGGCTTTTATCCGAAAGACAACATATGAATAAAATGTAGGAACTTGTTATTTACACTAAGCTTATTATTTAATCATTGTTCATGTGACATTTACAAGAAATACTTTTCCACTGGACGCGTGTCCGGTCGCATGACCGGGAAAATGAAGTTCATTTATGACGCGTTTGATTTTGGTTTGTCAGCAATATTCCAGCTATATGACGCCGGTCTGTAAATAATCGAGTCTGGACCAGACAATCCAGTGATTGACACCGTGAACAACACAATGGGGAAACGATGCATCAACCAAGTCAGCTAGTCTGACCATCCGATCCCGTTAGTCGCCTCTTACGGCAAGCATGGGTTACTGAAGACCTATTCTACCCCGGATCTTAACGGGTCCCTTCTTATATGAAGCGTAGGAACGACACATTTTGACGTCAATACTTTTTTTCACGTATTCTTGAATCTTGAAAAGACGTAAATACCGATGGACATCTTCTACATCTTTGGGGAACCCCCTGGGAATTCCCTAGCACGAAGAAATACAGCCTTGCTTCTGATCATATAGACACTTGAACTTAGCCTTGTTGCATACACTGGAAATAGTCAGGGTGTTTGACTGCATGTTCATGATTGAATATCCTCCCTACAACATATCCCAGTGAACAAGACGAAGACATGAACACCTAAACTATCGACTCGGCCCGCGCCTAGACCGACAGGGAGTCATCAGCATTCTACATCAATCTATGAACTTACATCAGCATCTATGTGCCATCTTTATACTCACCTGAATGATTGAAGTTGTTGAATGAAGACTAACACCTGACCGCCACATGCCTTCTTAGGTTTTAATGAAGTTTCAAACTTTTGAACAAATAGCTTCATAGGTTTTAATGAAGTTTCAAACTTTTGAACAAACAGCTTCACGGGATTTATTAAGTTTCAAACTCTTGAACAAATAGCTTCACGGGTTTCATGAAGTTTCAAACTTTTGAACAAATAGCTTCAAGGGTTTAATTAGGTTTCAAATTCTTGAACAAAGAGCTTCACAGGTTTTAGTAAGTTTCAAACTTTTGAACAAATAGCTTCACAGGTTTTAATGAAGTTTCAAACTTTTGAACAAATAGCTTCATAGGTTTTAATGAAGTTTCAAACTTTTGAACAATTAGCCTCACGGATTTCATGAAGTATCAAACTTTTGAACAAATAGCTTCAAGGGTTTTATTAAGTTTCAAATTCTTGAACAAATAGCTTCACAGGTTTTAATGAAGTTTTAAACTTTTGAACAAACAGCTTCACGGGATTTATTAAGTTTCAAACTCTTGAACAAATAGCTTCACAGGTTTTAGTAAGTTTCAAACTTTTGAACAAATAGCTTCACAGGTTTTAATGAAGTTTCAAACTTTTGAACAAATAGCTTCACAGGTTTTTATGAAGTTTCAGACTTTTGAACAAACAGCTTCACGGGATTTATTAAGTTTCAAACTCTTGAACAAATAGCTTCACGGGATTTATTAAGTTTCAAACTTTTGAATAAACAGCTTCACGGGTTTTAGTAAGTTTCAAACTTTTGAACAAATAGCTTCATAGGTTTTAATGAGGTTTCAAACTTTTTAACAAACAGCTTCACAGGTTTTATTGAAGTTTCAAACTTTTGAACAAATAGCTTCACGGGATTTATTAAGTTTCAAACTTTTGAATAAACAGCTTCACGGGTTTTAGTAAGTTTCAAACTTTTGAACAAATAGCTTCACAGGTTTTAATGAAGTTTCAAACTTTTGAACAAATAGCTTCACAGGTTTTAGTAAGTTTCAAACTCTTGAACAAATAGCTTCACAGGTTTTAGTAAGTTTCAAACTTTTGAACAAATAGCTTCACAGGTTTTAGTAAGTTTCAAACTTTTGAACAAATAGCTTCACAGGTTTTATTGAAGTTACAAACTTTTGAACAAATAGCTTCACAGGATTTAGTAAGTTTCAAACTTTTGAACAAAGAGCTTCACGGGATTTATTAAGTTTCAAACTTTTGAACAGCTAAACTCCAAACAGCAAGAAAAAAAAATAACTCTCACATCAACACAAGAGAATATTCCAAACAAATCTGACATGACCTGCACACATAACAATGATCAGCAAATTGTTTTCAGATAGGTAGGACGAATTAAACATACAGACTACAAACTGACGAAATCGTCATCAAACAGCAATAGGGTCCTTTTCTGGTGTCTGCTAAATAATAAGTTTCTTTTAACTTTTTCCCAGCAAGCAGAACACTTTCCCTCGCCGCGCTGTTCGCAACCAGCATCTGATGTTGAGTTTCTCAATGACTTTCTTTCTATGGAACCAGTGACATTTTGTTTCCACGGCAACGAGACTTGGGGCATGCGGGACCTCATTGAAAGAAAAGGGATGTACTGTCTTGTGGTTGAGACGATTGTAGCGTAGTAACGGACCTGTGTTTGATTGTATTGTGTGGTGTTGTGTG